TTTTTGTTTTTAAAACTCTGAAGATTGTTCTTATTCTTCTAACTATCAATCAAATCTGCCTTCTTACTACTATAAGCAAAGTCTTTGAACCATTGATTAATTTCAAACTGTCTTGATGTATAAGAACAAGTTCACTTACAATCACCCCTCACAATCAATTGGTGGGCATATAATGCTTTTTAATAAATGGCAAAAGGCGTTTCTTTAAGCTTTTTTTTATATATTGTTTGAACACGATAAAATTCAGCACCCTTAATTGATGATAGCTCAAAAACTACTTGCATGTTAAATGTTAAGACATTAGTCTTTGCATGGATAATTTGATCACGCAATGTTGTTGTTTGATTGTAATTATAATAAGTATTAGTTACCATATTAATATGAGTAAACAAATATTAAATCGAAAAAAAGATATTGGATTAAAAACGAGTAACAAATATTAAATCTAAAAAAAGTTTTAGAAATCTTCCTTTAAAATCATTTCAAAACACTCATATTTAAGTGTTCTTGATTGTTAGAGTGGGGTCCCTCAAGGCTCAATCTTAGGACTGTTTTTGACTATTTTTTATTAATTTACATTAATGATATGCATGAAGCATCGTTTATAGTATCTTCAATAATGTTGATGACACAACTTTATAATCATAGTAATATAAAATTGTTCGGAACAATGAATACTGAACTGGAAAAGCCTTATTTGTGATTCAGAGCAAATAAACTATCCTTAAACTGTGAAAAAAACTTATTACATTTTATTTTATAAAACAGGTCAATCAATTTCTCTACCGTTAAAAATTCAGAGTTGCTTATCAAAAACATAACAATAAAACGAGAAAAGTATGCAAAGTTTCAAATAGATGGAAATTTATTATGGAGAAATCATATTCGGCACATCGAATAAAAAATCTCATCTGCAATCGGTATTTTATATTAATCTCGCCCAAGTCCTGATTTTTATTTAAGTAAAAAACTTTACTTTAGTTTAATTCTTAGTCACCTAATATGCTAACATAGTGTGGGCTAATACACGCAAAACAAAAATAATCAAACTACAAGGCTTGCAAAATCACGCTTGTAAAACAATTTACTATCTAAGTAGAATGGACAATGCTTCTAATGCGATGACATATATGAAAGTTTTAATGTGGTAGCACTAAAAAAAAATAAACTTGAGAAATAAAAAAAACTCTACCATATTTAAGTGTTTATGAAGTTATTGGAAAAAATTAGGTCGATTAAAGAAAGAAAAAAATTACATTTGGTTGATCGATAATGGAGGAAAAAGTGATCACATTTCAAAATGCATTAAATCAATTTGTATTTATCTGTTTTCAATTAAACTTTTGAACATTTTACAGTACACCCAGATACTCCATTTAACTGTAAGATTTTTTCTAAATCAGAATATTAAAAAAGTTATTAACTTTTTTGGAATAACCTATAGATTTTCAATAGTTTTGTGGTATGTTTTGAAACGTTTAGGTCTATAAATCAATATTTAGAGTGATTCATAAAAATTCTGACGGGTAAATGGAGCGCATATATACTGTGAAATCCTGAAAATTTGAAAGCAAATACTCTACCTAATATCAAATTATCATGTTTAAAGTTTTTAAGAAACGCTCAAAATGCGATGCTAAGAAAAATACAAAATAAAGTTTAAAAAGAAAAGATCAAAACAAATAAATTTTTTAAATCCTAATAATTTCCTGTAGCATAAGAGACTATGGGTTCTTTTTCTTTTAAAATGTCACATTTTTGGTCATGCGTTTTACAAGTGGTACATCCAGTTTCTTTGTAATTTAGTGCAAAACTATTGCTGACAATTCAAAATATTCTAATATGTCAAGGATTCCATTTTTGCTATTGTTAAAATATATAACAGCCGAATAGGTACCCTTTTCTATGGTTTCTCTTCCAACGAATGTAGATTTTGGTACACGAGACCATACGATTGCATTCAAAGCCTCGTTTGCATTTTGTGTTTTGCCATGACTACACTATTCGAATAGCTCATCTTCCATTAAAACTTTAAAAGTTGGGAAGATGTTATTTTTTATTCACAGAGGAATTGAATTTAGTGACCTATATGTCTTATTTCGTTTTGACAAATACTTGCACCAACTTCCAGCATCTCGTGGTCAAAATTTATGACAATCAAAAGGATCTGGTAGGTCTTCTTTATGACAAGCAAATTTCCAATATTATTACAAATGGCCAGGCCATAATAACTTTGCATAGAGTCAATGCACTTGTTGGTAAGTTTGCTCTTACTAGATAAAGGTGTTTTAGTGTTTTTGTAAGATTTGATAAGATTGCGCAAACGAGTCCCAAGGTGCTTCTGTACGTGACCAATACACTTGAGCTTAATTTATAGTTTTCAAATATACTTTTTAGAACTATTTTTGAGTAGAGCAAAGTGGATGTTTTGCCTGGAAAAAAAAAAGAGTTAAAAGAACTACTTGAAGGGATTATATTAGACTATAATCATTTTGAACGGTAAAGGGTGATACTATGTAAATTTCAAAAAAAAAAAAAAAGGCTAAAAAGTTATCAAAATTGACAAAAAAGGTATGATAGGTGATTTAATTTTTTTGGAAATCAAAGCAGTGGTATACAAGATGCTGTTTTAATTCAAAAAAAAAAAAACTTTCAAAAAAATCGTTATTTTTTTTTTTTTTTTATAGGGCTACCACCTTAAACTTGGAAAACTTTATATTAGATTTTATGTACTAATATAAAAATAATGTTACTAAATTCTATTTTAGACATATTTTTGTCTTTACTTTCTCAGAGTTATAACTTGCGATCAAACAGTTTCTATAACTATTATTCAATTATATCACAAGGCCCAAAAACATGGAAAAACTTGATATATCAAAAATTAAAAAAACTTAAATGGAATATCCCACCCAGCACATTTTCATTGGGTCAATATTGGGAAAATATTGGGTGCCAATATTGGACAAATATTGGGGTGTGTAAATTGGGCCATTAGTGGGAAAATATTGGCAAATGTCTGGTAGAATCATGGCTCCAATATATACAGCTTTGCTTGCCGTTTAAACGACGATACCGTCGTTTAAACGGCAAGCAAAGCTGCATATTGTAAAAATGATCGCAATAAATAAAGGGAAGAAAGATATTAATATTAAAAAAAAACATTAGTAAAAGCAGAAATAGTAATTACAAAACTAATTTTTTTTATTATTATTATTGCTGGTATATTAGACTTTATTATAATATGTTTTATTATTTACGAATATTTCCATGACTTCTTTGCAAAATTACCTATGTAATGGTAATTTTTTTTATTACTGTGTTTTGGTAAACTTTATGTCATTGTTTTTGCTATTATACAAGTTTTTATAACTTCATTGTAATATTACGTATTTATATTATATTATACTCGATACTAGAAAGCATTGTATTATACTCGATACTAGAAAGCATAGATAAGATCTTCATAATCTTCTAGAAGTCCTGCCGCTAAATTTGTAATTTGTTAAAACTTGTATGATTAATATTATCTGTTGGCAAAAAAAAAAAAAGTTTTATAATTATAACTAAATTTACTTAACTTTTTACATAGACATAGATATACGCCAAATGGCGCAGTTTTGAAAATCTGCGCTATTTGGCGTATTCAGTATTTTTGGGTATAAAAGTTTTATAAAATATTGAATCTTATTTGATTTCCTCTTTTATATATTATAGTTTGGAAAAATAAATATAATTGTTATTATACCGATATTTATATTAAAGTTTGTATCAATATTAAATTAATGTATTTTTATCAATCTGATACCTAATAATTTTGTATAGATATATATATTTTTTTCCACTATAGTAAATGAAAATGAAGAAAAGTAAGGATATATTTATATAATTGTTAATTATAACAATGTGACTAATTAAGAGGATCTTTAGAGTTTATATATATATATATATATATATATATATATATATATATATATATATATATATATATATATATATATATATATATATATATATATATATATATATATAAAGGTAAATTCTAATTCAAATCTTAAGCAATCAAAAATTGAGCAGCCGTGGCGCGGTGGTAGCGCACTTGCTTCAGAAACGAAAGATCCGTGGTTCAAACCCCACCTCTGGGCAAGTTTTGCGATATCGGTTGGGAAGTAGGCGTGAACTTCCTCTTCCGCGGTGCTCTGTGATAAGACCGTAAGGACTTCTTGGGGCACCTTAATTAACTTAAAAAAAAAAAAAAAAAAAAAATGTTGATGCTTTTCTTAGATGCAGGAAAAAATAAATATATAATCAGACTGTGTTATGGAGACCCATAATGTGTTATTAGCAACAATATTAGCGACAACATTAGTTCCTCAGATACATGATTGATTTCCTGATTCATCCAAATACATCTTTATGCATGATTCGGCCCCATACCATAAAACTAAATTTCGGACAAAATATTTAGAAACAAAAAATATGAGTGTTTTACAATGTCCTGGCAATTCTGTGGAGTTAAACCTAATAGAGAACATACGAGAGATTGGGCAGGATACTTTCCCCATTAAAAAAAAGTTATATAGTGTCACTAAATAATGCTATAATGACCAGGATTTAAAATTAAACATAAAGAATTCCATCCGAAATATGTTATGAAGCAGTAATTGTTGCAAAAGGCAGCCTAAAAAAAAACTAAAAACATTTTTGTATTGTCAATTTTCTTGAATAAATCGTTAAAAATAGTAATAAATGTTTGTTTGTTTTTTTAAAAAAAAATTACTCAAGCTAAAAACACCAACATTAATGTAAATATTTAGTATAAGAATATATAAAAAAAGTTTATAATCGGTTATATTTTTCAGTAGTTAACTAATAATTTGGCCAACCACTGTATAAATATACACAATTACTTTCTCAACATTAAACCGAAGTATGTATACTTTGTATGTTAACAAAGTATGTATACTTTCTATGTTTACAAAATATGTATTTTTTGTATGTTTAGTATGAACGAAAAAGATTAACGTGTTTATAAACAATCAAATTACAAACTGATATCAAATGTTAATGATAATTTAACAACTGTTTTCATTAAAATTTTAGCATGTATTTAACTATCGATAACCAAGATTATCCATTTGCAAAACCTTTTCGCTATGGGATTTATATTCATTTTTCGGATAGTTGTTGTAAATGGAGTGTGTATTAGACGGGTTTATACAAATATTAATGCACGATAGCACTAATGAAACAAAGCACGCACATGCGCCAATCCAAGCACAAATGAAGGCATATCCATGTCTGTATCCCGTAATACTCCATGCAGATTTATAAAGAACTTCCGCATATATAACCGCAGCTAAGCCGCTAACAGCTGAAAAAAAATCAATAAAATAATCTAAAAACTTTTTCATTCTTAAATCATTTTTTATTATATATTCTTATTACATGTTTCACTATAAAATGTGTGTTAACATTTTGAATATCTAAAATTAATTATGTCAACCATAAATAAAATAAATTTTTACTTAAAAGTATTTTCCTTAAATATATTTGTAAAACAATAATTGTATGACAATTAGACAAATTAACTTTTAACGATAAGTATTAATGTATTATACACATATTATACCTCAACTATATACAAACACGAATTTTTGGGTATTTAAACTTCGATTCTTAAACTACAAACATATGTACATTAACTTTTGCCATACGAAAATGTTTTGCTAAAAGTTGCGCTGATTAGAGCAAGGGAACTAAAAACACCAAAAAATTGCCAATTTTATATGGATATAATTTCTAAAGATAATAATGCTTTTCAATTTTTAAGTCTTTAAATTAATTTTCATATAGTCTAAAATATTAGAATATGTAAAACTTTTTTTTTAAGTTATTCTTCTTCCTAAGGCCAAGGGTCCATTACAGTTGAGGATACTTTTATATTGTGGTTTCAGAGAAACAGTTTGAGCGTGGTACTACAAAGAACGTAGAGGGGATTGAATTCGGAACTTTTGCTTACGAAACGAGCACTCTACCACTACTCCACTTTTGTGTTATATAAAATATTAATGTTTTGTAAACAATACCACTTATTAGAGTCAAGGAACAACCTTTCAGTTTGGAGGCAAACTTTACTTGCTCATAGTTTTCAAAAAAAACATTGTTAGATAAAAATCAAATTTTTAAATAAACATAGTTTTAAATAAACATAGTTTTAAATGAAGCTTAGTTTGGAATAGTAGTAGTATAAAACTTAGCAATTTATTTCCATTAGATTCTAGGTGGCATATATTTTGAGGCTTTTGTTGTTCCCGGGTTCCAACCACTTCAGATTTTGAGTCAGCATTTTCTTTTGATATAATGAAACTTAAAATTTGGGTAGAAGGCACATTCGTGGTCTTTGAAGTAAATTCTCTTCTGTTTAGTCCTATCTCTTGCAAAGTTTGCCAGACCTACTTGCTTTTTGTGAGACTAATTTAAATTCAGGTGTCTTATTTTGTGATCTTTGTGTTAATGGTTATTTTCCTTTAGTTTGTAAAGACTCCAATAGTTATATACTTGGCCTAGGCATTTACATTCGCAAGAACTCACTCATTTGTTGTAAAATTAGGTTTGAATCTACAAACTATTCTTTCAAGTGCTTTCGTTCCTCACCACTTCACTCACCTTTCTCTTTGTTTTATATAGCTCTCCTTTATCTCAACACTACACTCTTTTCAATGTTATTTCTGATCAAATTAACTTTTACTTTATACTTCTTTTTGTTGTTGGTGACTTTAATGATGATCACAATGAATGACTTGGTTCCAGTGTTAGTGACTCTGCAGGTGCTAAGACCCACAAATTTTGCCTTTGTCAATCTTTAACACAAATTTTCAATTCGTTTTTCATAAAATCCGAATCATTTATCTTTATGCTCCACTTTTGTTTTTTTTCTAATTCTAGTTAGTTTTCAGTTTTTCCACATTCACCCTAAGGTGTTTATAATCACGGTTTGATCTCTCTAAAACTATTACCTCATTTTTCTTCATTATTAGAATCTCCTTATCATTGTACCTCTTATAACTACCATGAAATTTTACTGAGACTCTTTTGTGATTTTCCTCATGGTGGCTCTTGGATTGAAATCTTTTATCTTTCAGCTACAAATGTGTTTCTTTAATAACTTCTTGGATTCAGGCTGGCATGGAATCTTTTTCCTTCTCAACAATTCTCAAGTCAAGTTTCTTTCTACTCCATGGTTTTTCTCTCATTGTGCTGCTGCAGTTTCCAATCGTAAGCATTACCTCTATATCTATCAATAAAACAATTCTTCAGAAAACAGGCGTCTGTTTATTATCTTTAGAAACCATTGTAAAAAGGCTATGTTTTACACAATAGCCGGCTATTCTCACGAAATCTCGTATTTTATCTCAAAAGCTCCGGAAACTTCTGGAGTATCTTTAACAGTGTCTATAAGAGGACAAACCTCTCTTTCATTCCACCTCTCTTGCATGGTTCAGATTTTTTTACCTCACCTAAAAACAAAAATTAATTGTTTCCCAAGCACTTTTTATCAATCTCATCTCTAGATTCCTTTAATAAAATCCTACCTGATATAGCCAACAAAGAGGTTGATCCATTGCTTGACATTTGTACCACTCTTGCTTCTGTATCTAAATTGGTTTCCTGATTAGACTCTTCTACAAATTGTGGTTCAGACGACATTCCAGTTACAGTCTTGCAGAAGTGTTTTCCGGAGCTGTTGTCTATAATTTAAAAACTATTTAATAAGTGCTTATCATTGACTTGTTTTACAACCTGCTCGAAAGCGGCATCTGTTATCCCTATTTTCAAAAATTATGGAAAGCAATCTGACTTGTCTTGATTCCGCCTCATTAGCCTTTTAACTCTCATAAGCAAGGTTTTTAAGTCTTTAATTGACAAACACTTAATTTGGAATCAAATAACCTACTTTCTGATCATCACTATAGATTTCAATCATCTTGTTCTACTGCTGATTTGTTAGTGATAATGCCCGATAGGTTTTATTGTGCATAAGAGAGAAGTGGAGAGGTTATTAATCTCATCATTTCTAAAGTCTTTGATAAAGTTTGGCATGCTGGTCTTTTCCATAAGCTCACTTCTTACGGTGTATCAGATAACATCTTTACGATTATTGAATCCTTTCTTACCAATCGTATTATAAAAATTAGCCTCAATGGACAGCACTTTTTTTCATTTTCTATAACTTTAGGTTTCCTCAAGGTTCTATCCATATACTTTTTTTTATTTACATTAACGATCTCCCAGAAGTACAGAAGCATTGTTCGCTGATAATACTACGAATTGTTTTTGTCTTGATAAGTAACCAACATTCTCTGATTGCTTAGAGGAGGCTTTTAAGCTTGAAATAGGCAATTGATCTGCTATAGCATAGGGCTCCAGTGGTTGGTGAGATTTAACTCAGACAAAATTCAATTTTTTTCAGCTAATCGTTATTGCAATAATCTAGATCTGCCTATATTTTTGAACGGTAATGTATTCAATGAGTCATCTACCCTTCACCTTCTAGGATTAACTCTTACTTCCAATCTTTTCTTGGAAACCATATATCAAATTGATTGCAAAATTAGCGTTTGCTAAGGTTGCATCTCTATATTGTGCTCGCCACTTTCTTACTCTGGATTTTATTCTTTATATATATAAATCTTTAATCCGCCCTTTTATAGAATACTGTTACCATATCTTGAGCAGATCTTCGAATGATGCCCAATCTCTTTTAGGCAAGGTGCAAAAAGGCATTATAAGCATAGTTAGACCTACTCTTGCAGCCAATCCTCAACTATTATCACGTCGTTGTATTTTTGCTTCTCTTTCTTTTTTCTATAAATACTATAATGGACGCTGATCTAAAGAGCTAGCATTTCTTGTGCTTTATACTAAAATTCATACTTGTGTTACTTGCTCCCTTTATCTTGTTTTCCTGGTTCATATAAATTGCAATCTTTTAAGTTGTCTTTTAATCGTTATTTTACTTTATAAATTTTCTCTTTCAGTAAATTCCAATTCTAATAGTGGTTGCTTGCAGCCTTGTTGGAAGTGAAGATGTTTAAAAATTTTCTCTTTTCTCTTTCAGTAACTTTCAATTCTAATAGTGGTTGCTTGCAGCCTTGTTGGAAGTGAAGATGTTTAAAAATGAACAAATGAATAAAAGTTAAAATAAAATATAAAGATAATGTAAAAATAATGAAGTCTCTAATTACTAAACAAATTTTATTGTTTGAATAAACTTGTTAAATGTACGTTAAAAATTAGATAATTTCTGAAGTATTTAGGTATAAAATAAATTAAAAATAAATAAAAAAATAAGATGAAAATAATTAACGAGTTGGTAGAAAAAAACGAAAACTGAAAAGTTTAACGAGTTGGTATAATTTGTTTTAGAAAAATCATAAATAAGAAAAATGAAGATAAAAATTATATGATTTGTCAGTCTCTTCAAAAATCAAAATGAAGATCCAACTGACTACAGACATACACGAGCATTGGGAAATTTATGGCGAAAAGTATTAAGCAACTCTTGCTTCAAAATCAAAAAGAAGGAAGCACGATTACCACTCTCATCATAAAAGCAACATTGGTGAGGAAAATAGAAAAGACTTTCTCATTAAATTATCTTTCGGTTTACTTGGTGACATGATTACTAGCTCTTTTTGGAGAACTTTAATAAAAAAAAAAAAACTTTTGTTCTGTAGACCTGCTTAAAAGATATTAATCATCCAGAATCTTCAAGATCTGAAACTTTTTAAGCAGGAAACTTTAATGATTGAACAACTAAACCGATGATAATATTATGCTGCTCGGATAACTCGAGAAAATTATAAAAAAAAGTTGGATTCAAATGAAATGGCTTCTAAATTTTTATTAATTTATTTTATTTTTAGTTTATAACTCTTTATCATTCTTTCAAATTTTTACGTAAATTCACGATAAAATTTAATTTGGTAAAAAATGTAAATCTACTATTTAATTCGACTGACCTGTACCACTAAGTTTTTTGAACTATAATTTTAAGTTATTTGTTTCCAACATTATACTATGAACGGATTATGCAATTCACTTAATGAAAGTTTAGTGCAATAATTTGTTACTAACGAAGCTTTTTTACTATATAGTTTAAACAAAAAGTAATTTTTCTCATCTCGCAACAAAATTTCAATATAATTTTGATAAGCAAGCTGTTACATATTTTTCGCATAATTTCAAAAACTAACAAAGTTATCTTTCTGTCTTATTTAATTATCAAGAATTTAATTAAAAGAATTATCATCTAGTTGAAGTTACCAGTCAGAGTGAATTTAAAAAAACTTTAAAAAAATAAAATCTTAA